ATGTTCAGGTTCTGGCACTGAAGAGTAAGATTTTTGCAGAAGGACACACTTGATGTTGAGAAAAGATTGTCTAATTCCTTTTTCTCCTCTATTAGCACATGAAATGATGGGCCTCCATAGCTCAACACTGCATATCTAATAAAGGTGTGCTTAACTTGCCAGAAGAAAATGGAATAGATAATTCTTCTCTGGCCACTGGGAGAGCTATGGGGAAAAGAAGTGAAGAGCAATTAGAAGTTATCACCCACTTCCCTTCCCCAAGGTCTCAGCAGAGGAAGAGGCAAGTATAGAAACCTTATATATCAGTAGGTTACAATTGCAGTTTTGATTTTCTTGTAATATAGGTTACTTCAGAAAATATTTTAATCTATTCATTTTTATATTCAGAGGTTTGTTGTATCCTTTTGTGATTAGTTTTATTGCTGAGTGGTGGTAAGAAATTGTGGATTTAAACATTTTTATTTGTTTTTTGAGAATTCCTTTGAGGTCTAGAATGGCAAGACATTTTAAAGTTCTATTTGCTGTTTACAACTTTTTTTCAATGTTTACAGACTTTGTTCCATTTTAAATAAAGCGATCCTATTTCTTCCTACTAGAAAAACATCTGACTTCACATTTATTTTTCTGATTTTTTTGTTCCACTTTTTGTTTCAATTTTTATAATCTTATTAAAGTTATTAAGATAAATTAATTTCTCTGATATTTTTCTTTCCCATTCAGAGGATGTATGATGTATCAAAATGCATTCTACTGTCATGTATAATTAATTAGAACAAATTTTTAAAAACTTAAAAAAGTCAAAGACTTTTGGTTACATTTTGGAATATATTCAAAATAAAAAATATTTTATATGGTTTGGTCAAGATTAATTCATTTGGCTTCTCATCATGGTCTTGGAAGATATAGAGGACCATTTACATAAGAGATAACTTAAATAGGAAGGAACATGACAACTTGATAATGAATTACCAAGATATGATTTTAGGGAAAGGAAAATGGAAGTAGATCTATAGAGATGTAAAATTAAAAAAATTAAAAAGCAAGTGTATCAACCAAATGTCTGGGCTGGCACACAGTTCAGTAACTATTTATGGAATAAATGAGTGATCAAAATTCCCCAAAATTGGGCTGGGGATGTGGCTCAAGCGGTAGCGCGCTCGCCTGGCATGCGTGCGGCCCAGGTTCGATCCTCAGCACCACATACAAACAAAGATGTTGTGTCCGCCAAAAACTAAAAAATAAATATTAAAAAATTCTCACTCTCTTTAAAAAAAAAAAAAAAAAAAAATTCCCCAAAATTAAGTTGAGTTAGCAGCAACAGATAATGAGGCACCCAGATCCCACAGGTAACATCAGACCTCTTATTTGGAATTAACATTCATGACACAATTCTCTTGTGGGGAAAAAAAAAAAAAGCAATTTTTAAAACCCAGAAGAATAGAGCCAGGGGCTGGGGATGTGGCTCAGGCGGTAGCGCGCTCGCCTGGCATGCAGCCGGCCCAGGTTCGATCCTCAGCACCACATACAAACAAAGATGTTGTGTCCGCCGAAAACTAAAAAATAAATATTAAAAATTAAAAAAAAAAAAATAGAGCCAATAGAAAAAGAAATACTATTTCTTTAAGACATTGGCAATTTTCTTTCTATCATTGGTCATACCCCCTTCTCTTACTTTTCCATTTGTCTTCAGTCTCATTTCTGTAATAAATCAGGCTCGATTTCTGGACAGCATTGTCAATATTGTTTTTCCATCTTTTCATTAACAAGCTTGAAGGCAGCAGTGAAAGCTAAGTAACCTTCACCTTTCGAATGAAAACAACAACAACAACAACAAAAAAAAAACCCGGTTTGCAATAGCCATTCAATTTCAGGTTCATCTTCCGCTATTCAGCAGTCAACCTGGAGAGGTGATCATGGGTCTGCATTAGGGCAGCCCGGAGGGTGGTCCTTGGGAGTGGGGTTGAGGTCATTGCAGGGGCAGGGTGAGGGGTCAGGCATTTCCTGCCGCACCTGGAGGATATAAATGGAGATATTTTAGTTTCTAGTGCAGGCCACTCCTTAGCCTGAGAGAGCACAAATATTTACAGAAGGAAAACCAAATAGGAGCGCTGCTGCATTGCCGGCCTGTACTGCTGAACTTAATGAAGGGTTTCTTTCCCCCTATGGATTTCAAAGCAGCCTGAACTAAGGCTACTAAAGCAAACAGCATATCTGAGATTTAATGGAAAAGAAAACATGCGTGTAGCATAAAAGCTCCCTTATTATTCCTTCGCCCTTAATTTTAGGCAAAGTGCATCACAGTGACTTTTTGATGCGCCCCTTCTGTCCCCCTGCCTGTGAAACAGGTCAGCTGTTCAGGCAGTGACATGGTTGGATGGCATCTTTCATGGAGCCCTAGGCTCCTGAGGACCAGTGCAGCAGTGATGTGCAGCTAGCTACCTGCGGTGGATTTACAATGACATGACAGCCATCGGCAGTGCCAGGGGACAAACTTCAGAATCCAAAGGTAAGGTAGGATGGAAGAAATTTAAAAAGGAAGCCAAAGGAAGCACAAAGAAATGCAATTTTATTTTAAGGTTCCACATACCTTTTCAGGCCGGTCACTCGCCAAGTCCATTCTCCCTCCCAGGCTCCTCACTTCCAATTTTCTGGGAAATCTGTAAATCTTAGAATTAACATAAATTCACCAACTTATGAAAATTACCATGGGCACTGTTAATTAGCTCGTGCAATAAATAGATTAAGTAGATAGGGACATGATCTTTTAAGAAACCGGTCGTTTAGGGGCCTTTTCAGTGTTATCTACTGATCAGATCAATGGAAACCCGGATAGCCTGAGGATCCTGACAATGACCAGATATCCATTATCTATTTTGTGATCACCAGACTGAAGTCATCCTCACATATGTTCCCCTGCCCACCCCTCACCAAGTCTTCATTAAAAGAAGAGCCTGAGACCCCCAAAGCATCTCTCCCGCTCAAGATGCCCGCATTCTCCCTTGGATGTATATCCCTTGCTTTCCTAAAGAAATCCTGTGCTTCTACAGGCACACGCTGAAATTATTTTCTGTCACATGCACCAAGGACCGTACTTGCCAAGGTCCCTTCTCCAGGAAGCCCTCAGGCCCTCTTCTGGTGACAAAGGGATAATTGGGAAGTTACATGTTCTAATGGAAAGGTATGGTTCTCCAAAGAGAACCAAAAATGAGCCCAAGGTCTTAAGGTGGCTCTTGAAACATGGGACATGTACCCAATCCTTTTGTATTTTTCTTTTTTGTTTATTAATGAAAAGGCTGATATACATACACAGGGCAAGATATAAAACATTTTATCCTTGCATAAAGTTCCTTATGTCCTCTTCAACCAATCTTCCACAAGAATTATTCTGATTTTGATCACCAAGGATAATTTGTGCCTCTTCTAATATCACACAGGACACACAGTGTCTGGGTTTCTCCTGCTGCATGCAAAGGCCAAGCCTCCTCCACATGATTGAATGTACCTGTGCTCTTTCTTTCTTATTCATGAATAGTATTCATTGTACTAATATACCAATGTTTATCCATTCTCCTGTGGATGTAGATATTTGCATTGTTGACAGTTTGAGGACTGTTAAATAAAATTTAAGGGAGGCGACTGATTTGGCCTGATGTCCTGCATGAGTCCCCCAAAAAATCCAATCAAAAGGGAGTCACTCATGATAAATTTTTATGTCACTCAACCAAAACTTAATTGTTTATCTGAGCTTCCAAGAAATCAGAAAAGAGATGATAGCCAAATCTCCAAGTGAACACACTCAAATCTGTTTTAGCTAACATGGTGAGAAAGTCCCCTCCCCTCTAACTCTTGCAGGAAATTGACCTAAGTAACCTGATGATCAGCAGTCCACTTTCGTGTTAGGCTCTCTGCTCATTCCTTTTCCAGTCCCGTTATACAAATTAACTGTCCTGCCATGTCCAACATCAGATGAGATATTGCCCAATTCATGAGTTGCAAATAAAAGTCAATTCTGTCATTGAACTAATTTATGGAAATTTTGTCTTTTGACAGAATGAAAGTTACTTTGAACATTTTTTGTGTTCCAAATGTTTATGGAACATAACATAGATGGATGAACAGCTAGAGGTGGAACTGCTCTAATCAGGTAGGGTAGGAATGTGCTTAACTTAAAAAATACAACAAAACTCCAAATAGAAGAGTGTAAGTGTTTAAGTTGATCCATGTTATCATTAACAATGGGGATTCTTAGCAATTCAGGTGAGGGTGTGGCAATACCTCATTTGGTTTTAATTTGCATTTCCGTAATGAATAACTATTATATGCTAATTGACAACTCATATTATCTTCTTTTGAGTAGCATCCCATCTAGTCTTTTGCTCATTTTTAACTTGGCAGTCTGCTTTTGTTGTTGATTTGTATAATTTATTTGTATATTTATATAATCTGTAATTTGTATATTTATATAATCTGGAAAGAGTCTTTGGCACACATGTACAAATCCATACATGTATGTAGATAAGAGGAAAAAGAAGACTATAAAATAAGGCATCAAACTCTTTCCCTGAGGATTGTCATTCCCCTTGGGTGGTGGGATATATGGTATTTATTTACATCATTGACTTTCCTAAAATTTTCAAATTTATACAACTATCTTTTATGGCAGGCAGTTCTTCCAACTGTAGTGATAAGACAAAGCATGAGAGGTATCAGGTGGAAGATGCTCAGGGCAGAGGGTCATTATTCAATAAAATGAGTTTTTAAAGAGAAAGAACTGCCTCTTGTGCCCTTGACTGGAGAGTGCAAATGCAGGATGCATTTCTGCCTGAGTGGGATAGCTGGGAATGGATAAAGGAATGGGCATCATTTGGAAAAGTACATGAGTCCCTTCCCCCCTATCACCATTAATGTTTTTCTTTTGAAGTTTCCAGTGTCCAGGGAGCCTGGGGATTTGAGCCCTTGGACCCCATGGACGACTCGTCCTCTGGCAACAGCTTCCCGACATGCAGCGCAGCATTTTAGAATCTAAAACCAACCAGAACCTCTCAGTAGGCCATTTCCCCTCTGAGGCCGGCCCTGACTGTGAGGGTATCATACCCTGTGAAGACTTGACCTCTGAGGGTCCATCCTCCCTCCCTCCTGTCCAAGGGGCATGTGGAACCAGCAGTGTAAGGGGACCCATGGGCAGAAGAAATAGAATTAAGGACAAGCCAGAAGACCTTGGTGAAAAAGCCATCATGGAGATCATGTATGCCTATCTGAACTGCCTCCATGAAGACTCAGTAGCTAACTGGTCTCAAAGTGACTACTACCAGAGGATGGACAAGCACCAACAGGAGACGATCACCCAGTCATTCTGTGAGCTGGAGGATAAAAAGAAAAATATTAAGGAGTTTCTGGACAACCCCGAATATGATGAAGAAGATGACATTGTGCTCCCTCCGTCTCCACAGGAGGAGAATGTAGGTGAATCTGTGCTCCCTAATTTTTCTCAGCAGGAGGATGTCCAGCCAAAGAATGTCGAAGATGACGACACTGTGCACCCTGATTCGCCTCCAGAGGAGGATGTAGCTTACTCTGTACCCCCTGAGTCTTCTCAGAAGGAGGATGTAGACAACTCTGTGCCCACTGAGTCTCCTCAAGAGGAGGAGGATGTCCAGCCATCCAGAAGTGTCTCTTCCCATATGGATCAGGTCAGTCCTGAAGAGCAGGAGGCTTGTCGGGACTTGCCCAAGTGTCAAGGAGCAGAAAATGGAGATATCAAGCAGTTCCTAGAAATGCCTCCTGGGCTTGAGGAGGATGAAATTGTTGAGGTGAGCACAGAGCTGCCCCCCTGCAGAGGAAGGGACAGGCCCAGTGGGAGTGCCAGGTGGGACAGCATGGAGTCCTTGTACCTGCTGTGAAGCAGAGGAGGACCCCAGTGTCTGGGCAGAAGAGCAATGGGAGAAGGTCCACAGCCAGGAAAGGGGTCAGGGAAGAGGTGTTGGGGAAATGCCAGGGAGCACTGAGAGAGAGAGAGAGGGGAGGACAGAGAGAAGCACTTTACAGACCAGTGTGTGTGCCTGTGTGTGGCTTTAATGTGAGTGAGTCCTGAAACTTTGCATTGACAGTTGGCTCATTTAGGTTAAAAACATAAATTGGAAATCCATAAATGAGTGATATTGGCCCCATTGCTGCTGACCCTGAATGTCTCTAACTCCTCCTCTTTGTCTTGGCAGTTGGAAAGCCAGGAGCCTGGCACTGCAAAGAGCTCTCCAGTCTCAGCATTGCAGTCAGAGGAGCGGGATATGCCTTCAGACAAAGAAGGCACTTCCTGTATGAACTTCCGGGGCCTCTTTCACTGGCTCAGGAAGCGATTGGTGTCCTCCCTGCCAGGGAGAAAGCGCCGTGAGAAGGCCAAGAAGGTCTCATCCTGCTGGCGCTAAAGAGAGGACTTTTAGCTGGAGGCCACAGAATCCTACCTCAAGAATCCCTCTAGTTAGGAGCCCTGTGCACCCAGAATTTTAATTGATTCCCCAGCCCGTGTTGTAGAGTTAGCATGGTTTTGTGTTTTCCTAATAAAGTTCTTGTTTTCCATGTCTTCCTCCTCTTCCATCATAACATCTGGGCCCAGGTTGAAAGTAGGTATGTTGACCAGAAGACTGAGGTTGACCCTGAGGACACCACAGGGAGTACTCTGCCTCCTAAACAGAAGGCCTTCATCTCTCTCTCCCTAGGCCCCTTCTTACTATGTTTCCCCTCTTTTACCTCTTATTTTATGCATTTTAACATGTTTTATCATTTACTCCTATCTGCAGTGTCAGAGGCAGCACTACCCCTGTGAGTCCCAGGTGGCAGGATGGTTTGGGGGGAGCTTGTGGGTCTGGAGTGAGTGGCAGAGGGCAGTGAGTCACTGGGAAGGCCATGTCAGTCAGTAGTGTTAGACAGTCAGAGAGCTGTTCTGATGACCCTGGGGACCAGGTGGTTCTAGCATGTTATTCTAAAATGTCCTGGCATGGTGGCTGGTTCTAGCAACTTTGCTGACATATGTAGCCCATGGGGGAGGAAGGTGAGGGCTACAATCGACTGTGTTTTTTTTAGACAGCCTTATCTCTACTGGTGGCCCATTCAGCTATGATCTCTCTTCTCAAGAGAGTACTGGTTAGATCAATGCAGCATGGCCCATATCTTAAATGGCCAGTAACAAATACGAAAAAACACAGAGAGAGGATTGCCCAAACCAGCATTTACGAATGGTAACCTTTAAAACAGAGAGAACTGCATGCTCAAATTCTTCCACTTACTTTACCTTTGACAGACCTACTCCAACTGCAAGATTGCATAATAATCCAGAAAGCCTTTCAAAAGTCAGATGATTAAGCAAAACATCTTAGACAGGCTCTTACCTATAGATGCCCCTTTCTTCAACTCACTTTTCCCTGACAGACTGACTCCAATTGCAAGGTTTTATAAAAAAGAAACACAAAGACAACCAGAGAGAGCCCCAAAATCATGACGAACAGATGGGAAACTTTACATTGGCCAGCCAAGATCTTTCCCAAGAGACTACCTACAGGATCAATGTAGTATTGGCCATGTCTTAAAAGGGACAGTGACAGATATACACAAAAGACAGACAACCAGAGGGAATTCCTAGGCCCAAGGCCAACAAACAGAGGAGAATCTAGACCATATTAGAAGGGAGTAAACATCCCTAGGTTCTCCAGTCCTGCTTAACCATGACTGTACACCAGGGGCTCCACGGATGTCCCCAGAAAAAGGGACCATCTGTTCCCATAAAGAGGAACATGATGTGTGATATTGAAAGTCTCTGTGTGCACACTGGGTGACTTACCAATTGACCAAGGGAGTCGTGTCTTAACTAGTTCAGTTTCCTTTTTCTGACAGTGGACCGTGATGGAGCAACTGGTACTGTTCAGGTAGAGAAGGCAGGTGTTCCCTGAAGCAAAAGGAGCTTTGGCAGCTGCTGGGATGGTTCTCAGTCCCTCAAAGGACTAGCTCCTCTGGTTCAACCAGAGGCAAACTCACCCATCTCATACCATTCCAGCCATCAACTGTCAGAAAGTCTGCCTTACATCAGCATGAAAGTGGGGTTCTCTGGATAACCAGGACTGCCCAAGAAAGCTGGAGCAGGGACTGCTCTCGGGTCCCACCTGGGTACCAAATTTGTTGCCGAAAGCTCAGTCTTTGTCCCTGATAACGAAGACACAGTTTTGGTAAAAAGGAAAAGGAAGGTTTATTGCTTTGCTAGCAAAGGGGAAACACAGGGGCCTCCTGTCCTAAAGGCTGTGATTCTCTTGATCTGATTTTTCTGATGACTATTGATGTTGAGCATCTTTTCTGTGCTTGTTTGACCATTTGTGCATCTATCTCTTTTGAAGAAATACCTTTTCAGACACTTTGCCCATATATCTAAAAAATTTAAAAAGCAAGAGTACCGTCATTGGAGTTCATTGGAGGGATCAGGAGGACATTCTTAGATCCTAGACTGGAGGCTGCCTACTGTTTAGTAGAGGAGAAAGGATGAAGAGCTGGAGGAACCTCTGGGATCAGAACAAAGTAGATTATTTGAAAGTTAAAATGAACATAAATAGAACAGGTATCTTCATTTGTACTTACAAGATCAATTTATCTGCCATGTTTCTCTCGAATGTCTTATCATTGGTATTTTTCTGAAAAATGTATTTTTAAATGTGACACTCAATTTTTTTTTTGGATAAATTCCTTGCAGATGTCTGACACATTGGCAAACTTTGACAAGGAGAGCTTCCATTTGAATTAACATAAGTAGCCACATATTTGTTCTCATGATTTGAAATGAGGTTAGGACCAAAAGTATCATTAAGGCCATTTTTGTTTCTAGATGTCTTAATTTTGAAAAAGCATTATTTCTATATGATGACGTGCTCTATCACAATTTGGGTCTCTATAATGAATATCAGCTAAATTGTTTCATATTAAAATTTGATTTTTGAGTTTGATTTGCAATGGAATTCACAAGAATTCCTCCTCCTCCTCTTCCTTATCCTGCCTTCCTCTTCCTCCTTCTTCTTTTGTCAGAAGAAAATTCCAGAAGCTTTACCTTCATTCTTGGTTTTTCTAGGCAGATCATTGTATTGTTTATAAATATTTAGATTGTTTTTCTCCTTTCTCTCTCTTCCTGGTCTTTTGCATTGGCAAAGACCTTCTGAGCAAAGTTAAATAATAGTGATAGAGGATAATGATAGAGAACATCCTTGTCTTGCTTCTGATGTGGGAGGGAACATAGCTAACATTTCTCCATTAAAACTGTATTTAATTTTGGCTTTAAGAAAATAACCCTTTGAAATAGAAAAAAAATGTTCATTGACTCCAAGTGAAGATTTACTTTAAATCAAGAATCAACTTTGAATTTTATCAAATGTTGAATCTCTGCTATATTAAACTACATTATTAACCTTTTAAAAATATGAAACCAGACATTTTTATTTCTGAGCATATCCAAGTGGATCCTGTACAGAAATACATAAATAGTTAATATAAAACAATTTAGCTTACATTGACTATAGGGGTTCAAATTATGATAGAGCACAGTAATACATAAAGATTGGCTTTTCATAAATATATGAAGTAAAAAGCCAGACAATTTCAGTAAGTTGTTGCTCAGGTGGTAAAGAAGGGTAACCTGTGATTTTGGACCATTCGCAAGGATGTGAGGAAGTAGAAACCCCTGTATTCTGTTGGAAGTGATAGCTCAAACACTTTCTATAGGTAGCATTCAGGAAATACCTTTTAAAATTAGGAACACAGTTACTCACTGACTAAGCAAATTCCATTTTACAAATTTATCCTGTAGACACATTATTCTTATACCTGATGTGACATAGGTACAAGTGTATTTCATCACAATTAGGAACAGCAAAAGGTCAGAAAATAGATTAACTATCCATCAACATGAGACGGGTTAAATAAATTATAGTAACACTCTTAGAAGGAAATAAAATACAGTCATAAGAATCCTGAGAAAACTTTCCTTTTATTCAAGTAGAGAAATTGCCCACATATATCACTAAGTTTTTCAATGAAAATACCTCTGATAGTTTGACTTGATGAACATTAATGCTACATTGGGAAGATTTAGTCCTGAGTTTCATTTCATCATCAATTCAAAATTCTCTTTTTATTTTGCCCTAACTAGTGCTTTGGAAACTAATGCATATTTTTTAAGATCACAATTCCTTCTTTCCTTTTATTGAAATTTTTGAGTCCATGACCACCGGTATTTCCGGATCATGTATATGGTTTGCATACAGCATATTTGTCATCTGATTCAAATGTCCATTTTTTCTATTGATGGATGAATTTAGTCTTTTTTATTTAAGGATAAAACACAGGATTTTATTTTAATTATGTCATGTACTTTATGTTATGATTTCTGGTTATGTAGCTTTAAAAATCTATAAAATATTTTTTGGATGTATTTTATTAGACATTAGAAAGTTGCTCATATTTGTTCTAGTGGTTACTTTGAGAAGAATAATTTTTATAATATCCTCATGCTTTATTTTTTATAGACTATTTCTCTTAATTCCATACAATAAGGAACTAAGAACTTTTCTCACTCATCATGTAATTTTAATTGAACATATTATTTTTCATGGTATTTACTATTTTTATTTTAATTTATTTGCACATCTACAACTATATTAGTAGATCTGATATTATTTGACCCCCAATTATTAAATATTCAGAATTCATGCACCTATATTATTCAGAAATAATCCTGAATTCCCACCTAGAGCTAAATACCCTGCACCAATTTGCAGTCCCACCAGCAATGTACAAGTGTACCTTTTTCCCCACATCCTCGCCAGCACTTGTTGTTGTTTGACTTCATAATGGCTGCCAATCTTACTGGAGTGAGATAGTATCTTACGGTGGTTTTGATTTGCATTTCTCTGACTGCTAGAGATGGTGAGCATTTTTTCATGTACTTGTTGATTGATTGTATGTCCTCCTCTGAGAAGTGTCTGTTCAGGTCCTTGGCCCATTTGTTGATTGGGTTGTTTGTTCTCTTATTGTCTAATTTTTTGAGTTCTTTGTATACTCTGGATATTAGGGCTCTATCTGAAGTGTGAGGAGTAAAGATTTGTTCCCAGGATGTAGGCTCCCTATTTACCTCTCTTATTGTTTCTTTTGCTGAGAAAAAACTTTTTAGTTTGAGTAAGTCCCATTTGTTGATTCTAGTTATTAACTTTTGTGCTATGGGTGTCCTATTGAGGAATTTGGAGCCCGACCCCACAGTATGTAGATCGTAGCCAACTTTTTCTTCTATCAGACGGCGTGTCTCTGATTTGATATCAAGCTCCTTGATCCATTTTGAATTCACTTTTGTGCATGGCGAGGGAAAGGGGTTCAGTTTCATTTTGTTGCATATGGATTTCCA